GGGGGGGGGGGGGGGGGGGGCAGGATGCTACCACAGACCTACCATGCCACGCTCCATGTACAGTATACTTATACAGTATACCTGCCAATGACCCGCTCAGGTACATAACATGAAGGCAGCGATAACGGCTGATACCATAAGCACACAGAGCTTTCGCCAGCGACACCACTCCCCAACGTCACCATTTCAGCATTGCATCGATAACAGCCATGGCGTCAGTCGACCTACAAGCACAGCATCACCCGCCAGCTACACCACAACTGCTAACTTGCCCACTCCCAGAACAATAGGTCGCTGTGAGCGGTTTTGCTTTTCACGATGGAGCGCTGACTGGGGGAAGCTGTCAAGCACTCAAGCAACACGGAGGGAAAGTGCTATGCCAGCCGCTCCCGCTGCTCCCGCCTTTTGCCCCCGGGTTGCAGCATTCGGGATGCCGGCAAACATACACTCGTCGTTCTTCTTGGTTTCTGCCACGAAGAGCACGTCCGCGTTCTTCCCCGGCTTGGTCCGCCGTCATGCGCTATGACGTCGGCTTGGTGCCTCGGGCTCTTGCGCAGGTGCCTCCCTTGCTCTGCAGCGTCCAGCTCTGTCTGTGCTTTGTTTGGGGTCAAGGCCAGGAGATCCAGGAGCAGTCCTCCTGACCCGCGCCGAAGCGCATCGCCATCCATCATATTGATGGAGAGGGATGACGTGACAGGTGGTTTTGCCCCCGTGGAGGCAGGTCACAGGTCTGAGCACTCGGCGTGGCAAACAGCATGCTTTCAGAACCTGGTATGCAAAACAACTCAAGGAAGGGGCGGTTCTCCTTGCAGAGTCACAGTTCCTCAGAGGCTACCGCAGTGCCGGCCGTGCCAGCGAGCGCGGATTGACCGCAACAAGCTCGTCGAGCTCAGGTACAACTTCAACGACAAGAAAGCCGGGTACTGACGCGAACCACCCATCGCCGCAGAAGAATGCACGCAGCTTTTGACCCCAACAACAGCAGCCAGATCAACGAAGACGACTGATTGGGGTGAGTTTCCAAAAGGCCCCTGAAACCAGAGCCTCAGAGGATCGCGTTTGTTGTTCAGGTTGCCGTTGTCTTCAGAAGGTTCGCCGGGGTTGGGCTTCTTCCTTTGAGTCTCTTTGTTCCGGGGTCCATTTCCCCGTAGGAAGCTCTTTGCCACCGGAGGAGATCGAGCAGGATTAAGAGTGTTCGACTTTTGCTGCCCTTGTCGTCGGCTCGACTCCACCTTTGAGCTGAACTGCCGCGAAGGTGATGGCCCCTGCAATAATCCCGATGATTCATGATTCTCTGCTTGCTTCTAAAAATGTCATGGTTTGGTCGTGCTTGCTGTTGAACACTGGGAACGCACAGCTAAGCATGCCCACCAAAGTACCGTACCACCCTCCGGCAGTGATGGCAGTGGAGCCACCTTCTTTTCGAGAGTATAGTCTTGCTCGCAGTACTAAGTTGTTCTCGGGGCTTCGATCCACCGGATGGCTCTACTGATGCCCTGTGAGCACACTTGGCACCTCTCCACCAGATCCCGAAAAAGAACCCCACTAGAAAAACTGCTGCCTTGTCGGTGTGTGTGCTTTCTTAGCTTCGCTTGCCTTTTCCTATAAATAAGGACTTTTCACAGCAGAAGTTGTTGCTTCGGTGGAGATCGCCAGTTCAACAAGCGCGCGGGTCGCGGGGGGCTTGCCCCCCTTGCCCCTAGCCCTGGCGAAAGAAAGCGAGAGGGGGAAACATGACATGATAGCTGAGACATGACGAACCACAGCACCCCGAGCCGCGAGGCGATCCGCGAGTCGAGCGCCGACTACCTGCCGGAGCCCCGAAAGAGCAGGGCCAGCGGCGAAAGCGAGCGCAAGTGAGCGCAAACATGTGAGAGGGCTGAGAGGGCTTAGTGCCTTTTAGGAGGGCAGTGGAGAGAGGGGGGGCCCCTCGGCGGCTCCGAGGCGGGAGCCGGAGTTGATCGAGTCGGGAGCCTCGGAGCGCTCTCTCCTTCGCTCCTTGGCTTCTTCTTGCCTCTCCTGCAGGTCCCTGGGTTTCAGCGAGGAGGAGCTCCATGCCGAGGGCATCGCCACAGAGCAGAAGCCCACAGGGAAGATGGCCCGCTTCGAGGCCCCCCCCCCTCACACAACCCCACTCGCGAACGAATCCTCCCCGAAGCCTCAAGAGGCCATGCTTGACCAAAGCTTCGAGAACCAGAAGTGGGAGGAGAAGCAGGACAGGGAGAGGAGGGCCAAGGACCTACAGGCCCACAAGACTATGCCAGAGGCCCACAAGTCTTGGTGCCACGAATCCTGTCCGTGTCGGAAGGCGAATGGTAGCAGCCTCCCTGTGCTCGACCCACAAAGCCCGGCACAGGAAGTTCTGTTGAAGGAGACTTGTGTGGTGCTCTGTTTGCAGGTGACATGCAGTGGTTCAAGGTGCCTTACTGGATCAAGGCTGATGAGGAGACCAGGTGCTGCAAAGCCGGTCCTGCGTGAAAGTGCCAGCGATGCAGCAGAAGACAGGGAAATGGTCCAGAAGATCAAGCAGCATTTCATGGACGAGATGAACGCCAAGGCCACTGGCTTAGTCCCTGTCGTGCTCGAGACTTTGGTGGATTGTTGTGCCCCCAGGGCCACTTCGACCACAACGCATTTCTTGAACACCTTTGGCAGGCGTCCACTGCATAAAGATTTGATCTACTGTCGAATGCAGAAGAGCCCTATGGGCCCAAAGTTCACCGCTGCTTTGCCAGTGTGGCTTCCAAGTTGCCCAACATTGGGCGGGATCGCCGAACGAGGAGTTGGTGAAACAAGTGGAGGCATCCCTTCTTTCTGTCATTCTTTCCTTGCTTTTCTTCTGTCGGTGTGAGGCCGCCGAGAAAAAAGCCCGGAGCGTACAGCGTGAAGCGCTGCAGGCCGTATTTTGCGTGGCAGCCTCGATCATGGGAAAAGTGGCGCAGGAAACCTCCATGCTTCGGCAGCACATCAAGCGTGTGGAGCGCAAGTACGGGCCTTGTCGATGTTCTTGCCTGAGATCGCATGCCGTGGAGATGTTTTGAGGTACAAGGAACTCCAGAGCAATGCTGCAAAAATGCAGAAGGCCATGTCCACCATGGCCTCCCAGCTCAAAGAGGCTGTCCAGAAGGTGGCGAACAGTCGTGATGTCAGGACAAGTTCGCGCCAGGCTCGCGACACTGCGGCAATGTTCGGGGTTGAGCTGCCGTCCTCCCCCAGCGATACGTCCAACCGCCGGCCGTCTGTGAGCCTCCCCCGCGCAGGGCTTTCCTTCATCCTTGTTCGCCTGGCCTTTGGGTCTTTCTGGGAAGGAGGTGCTTCAGCCTGGGCTCAAAGCGTAGAAATGGCCGTGGTTGCCAATGGGCTGCGGCTGCTGCAGGCTGTAAGCCTCAAGTGCCTCAAGTGCCTCTCAGCGTGTCACAGGGCCCAAAGCGCAGAACTGAGCGGCTGGAGGCAAAGAGATATCCCGGAAGGTTTCGAGTGGTGGTACAGCGACACAATCTCATATCGAGGTGGGACTTTGGCGCCGCAACTTGGGCCGGAACCTTCTAGGTTCTAGGTTCTCTGCGTCAGGCCCGAGGCGAAACCTGCCTCCGGAGCCTTCGCCCAGCCCAGAACCTTCGCAGCCCAGGTGCCTTTGGAATCTGTAAGCGTCGAGGCGTAGAGCAGATAAGCCGATCCGATCCGGAGGCGATCTCGAGGCTCCGTCGACAGGGATCTGCCATCCGACAGCGATGATGATCCACCCCAGAACATCATCGACCAGCCGCCGGAGTCCTCTGCCTAGTTGCCTTTCCGGTTTCTGATGCATCTGGCTTTGAGATGTGTGGAGGTACCCCCGGGGACGGTCGCCGCGGTCAGCTTCACCTCAGAGCAAGGCGCACGCAGGGGAGGGGGGGACCCCCCGGTCGATATGCGCTTTTCCTTTTCTGTTGCTGCTGCGCTCGGCTCCGCTTTGCTCCGCTTTGCTCCGCTTTGCTCCGCTCGGCTCGTGCCGTGAGGAGCCCTTCCTGCACGGCGCCGGCGCCGGCGCCAGCTACGCGCCTCTGCTTCCCGAAGACTTGGGGATGCCGTCGGCTTAACACGCAGTGCATGGTGGTGCACAGCATCTCCTTTCCCTCGGCCGAGGCCTCCACGTCCCAGAGATGACTGGGAGTTTCGCGGAGGATGCCGTCAGGAAGAGGCCGAGAGGGAGACGGCCGAGAGGTACAAGCCGGGTCCTGAGCTACAGAGGCCTCACGCTGGCTTCCCGAGGCCTGTAAAAGCAAAGCGCGCGACTTGTATCGAGCCTTCGATCAGCCCAAGTTGTGGCGCAGAACCTGTCCAAGACACGAGGAAAGCAAACAACGGCAAACAGCAGAGAGGAGGGCCAAAGACAATTGAAAAGGTCAACCAGGAGCTGTATGAGGCTGTAAGGATAGCAGGGTCCAGGGCCTGCATTCGACTGAAAGCAGGCCGGAGAGTAGGAAAGCATCAGAAAAGCCAAGGGACATCGACATCGACGAGCTGGAATTGCTGCGCGGCAACTTGCAGGCTGAAATCTTATTTAGCGACCCATTGCTCCATTCAACATGTCAGAGTGTACGTGGCCCTGCACAATGTCAGGCAAACATCTCCGAGGCAAGCTGAGCTGCTCGCGAAGTGTCAAGCCTTAGCAGCTTAGCAAGCTCGGAATTGTGTTGCTCATCTGTCGGGCCAGAGCGTTGAACGCCAAGTGCTTTGTCGGAGCAGGACCTCCTGGTGCGCTTCCTCCGTGGCTATGCCGAGGAGAGGTTGAGCAGCGGTGAGAAGGGCCCGCCCCCGGCCTGGCTGTGCGGTGTGCGGGAGGAGCCTGCGGCAGCGCGGGGGCAGCTGGCTCCTGTGCAAGAGACCGCGCGAGAAGCTGAAGCGGCTCTAGCAGAGGCCGAGGCTGCGAACCTGCCGGGTCTGCCGGGAACTCGGCTTGGCGAGTCTCGAAAAATCATCCCGGCGGTCACGCGAAGCATGCGTCTTTCGGCTCCCTGCCGGAAGCTCGCAGGCCGGCGACATCGCTGCCGTGTCTGGGGCCAGGCTGGAAAACCCACGTAGCAGACCTAGGCAGAATTGAAAATTACAGCAAACAAGACGAGGGTGTTTTGTGACATCTTATGCGTTCTGCTTCGAGAGGCCTTCCGAAATCCGGACTCCTGGAGGAGTCCTCCTACAGAGGGCAGTTTCATCGTACTTCGCAAGTTGCCTGATGCGCAGGATCCTTACGCGACATGGCAGTACCCGCAGTGCTCTTATATGCCCTCCACGCTTTGGGCCGGCACCGTCACGGCTTATTGTCGACCGGAGGAAGCATCTGTTCGGGTTGGGGAGACCCAACTCGTGAACCCGAAGACACAGAAAGAGGAAGCCGCAGAACTGGAATTGGTGCAGGGGGCGGTGGCGCTTCCCGAAGAAGCTGAAGCAATTCAGCTTCAGCCGAAACGCCCGCCATCTCCGCCGGCATCTCCTTCGGCATCACTCGAGCGGGTGCACAGCGACATGACGGCCTTAACAGAGGCTCTGCAAGCCCGGCAGCGCAGGTGGCAGTCCAAGTCGCTGGCAGCCGTGTCCCTGAAGTTCACAGCGCCTGCCACGACGACGACGGCAGCGTGGGTGAAGGCATCGCCATCCGAAGAGCCAAATCGCCTCCAGATCACGGTCTCTCATGCCATCGGCAACACGGCAGAGGCTGGGAGCGGTTTAACGGAGCCAAAAAGACTTTGCGGGAACCCTTTCCAGGCCTTTCTGAGCTGCGAGGCCTGGGGCGTGGGGCGTGGGCTTCCGTCAAAGACTCCCAGAACTTGACGTGCTTCTCTTTATCACTCGGAGGTGGCAGGGCAGCGGCGGCAGGTATCGTTGGATCAGCCCGGGTCCTATCACGGGTCTTCGCTGGCATCATGACACGCAGAAAAAGGTGTCGGCGTACTGCGACCGACAAGATTGCTCAGCCCCGCAAGCGTAAACAAACCCGACATGACGACTGCAACAAGACCCAAAAGGCAGCGGCATAAGTATAACCTTTCCGGCAATGTGGTAGGGAAAAACATAGCCAGACAGCCGACTCTACTTCGCCTTCATGGGAGCTTTCACACTTGCCTCCGGATTTCCCGACCACGCAACCAGGCAGAAACCCACCTAAGCTAAATAAAGTGTGGCAGCATCCGGAGGGTGAGCGAAGCGGCTGCTGCGGCTCCAAACGTGAGACCCAGATGACCATATGCATGACGATGCTGCGCCAATCAGCCAGTGGGACTGTTGCTGACCTGAAAAGCCATAATCATCTCCATCATCTGCATGATGTCCGAACCCCGCACACTGATGGTGAGCCAAGTATCCAGCCAGCGACCAGCTCTGCAAACCAGCGACTGCATGATGGAAAACGGTGAGCATACAGAACGAAACAACCGAATCTCATGAAGATTACACAGACACCACGGCCACGACAGCTACTGTACTGGCCCACAGTTGGGAAATTTGCCAGTGGCCATGACAATCAGAGACAACGGCCTCGTTACATGTCTTGGTTGCTGTTAACTTAACGTTGGAGTAGGAGGGCCCAGGCACAGAAGCCGTCAATGATTGGCTGCTTGACGTTGCGGTCAGTAAATCCTGAGCCACTCCAGTCAATGAGCGGGAGTGGAAGAGTGAGACACTTGCGACAAAGCTCAGGTTGTTAGAGGTTGGGCGGGCCCAGGCGGCCCAAGCTCTCCGGTTGCCGGCTGTGACCGCCTCGCCGGACGCCGAGCCCAGCAACAAGCGGTTCATCTGAGCGGCTCTTCGCTTCGGTTCGCTGGTGTCGGTGTGTGTAAGGATGGAGCTGACGCTGCTGTCACGTCTGGGTCACGCGGCGCTGGTCCTGCCAGTGCCTCAAGAGACCGCTCGGCTCGAAAGCGCGCCATGGCCATGGCCGTCTGCGCGAAGGCATCCGGGTGTTGCGGGATACTCCCTGGAGCTCGAGACGCTCAGACCTTAAAGGAGCCAGAGCTGCGCTTCTCAGAGCCTCCTCGGCCTCCTTCTGAGGTCGAGCCCATCGAGGCGCCGAAGCCTCGACTTGCACGTTTCCCCGGCGTCCCGAGCCGAGAATGAGGCGACTTGCCGCGCCTGTCGTGCTCATGCTCTTTCGAAGGTCAGGTCTCTACGACTCCGCCGGAGTCGTGGAGCAGCACAAGAGGTCGGACGGGCGAAGCGACAAGCCCCCAGAGAGATCAAGCTCCGGGTGGCGAGGTATCTGGAAAAGTTGATTCAAGCGGTGCTGGCGGCAAGGCCGATGCACTCCCTTAGAAAACCGTGTCCTTCCTCGCGCCACATCCTGGATTTCCGGAGGCCAGCAGAGCCTTTCGAATTTATGGCAAGGCAGGTTCGGAACCTGCGGCTCCAGGACTCCGCACTGCACATCCAACATTGCACGAGAGACTTTCTCGGAGGTGGTTTGATTTTCCAGATCTGTGCAAGAGTTTGTAAAGTCCAGGAGGATCGGGCCTTTGTAATCTTCACGTGTTTTTGGTTGAGTGGCACAAGATTCTCCTGTCTGAATGCTACGCTTGCTTCGAACAGAGACAGTCACTCTCCGGTGAAGTGACTTGACCAACTTGCTGCTTGGCGACAGGACCGCGCCCGCGGTGGGTGTGTCGGTCCCTGCGACCTCCGTGTTCTCGGAGCAGAAGGGCACGCTCTGCAAGAACTGAGAGCACTTGCTGTTGTGATGTGATGACTGGCGTCTCTTTGTGAGGTTGCCTCCAGAAACTCTGCTCACGGTCCGCTGTGGGCACGGTGAAAGTCGGCAGGCGAGGCTTCCAGCTCCTTTCGATGTGGTCGCAGCGGGCTGGCAGCAGAGGGACTCAGTGGAGAGGCGCAGCTGTCCCATCTCCTGGATGGGCGGAAGAGGCGAGGAATACGAGGGCAGCAAGGGAAAATCAGGTCACTGGGCGTCTTGCTGATCAGCAAGATGCAGACTCTGGTGTCTTGCGGGGATCGTCGGGTATCTCTCCACCGGACATGCGCAACTGCAGGCTGAAGATCCCCGACGGCCCACTTCTTCAGGCCCAGGGCAAAGCGGCGCCGGTTCTCTCTTGCGTTTGCCTTCGAGTGCAGCCTCCTTTTCCAGGTCACTTTTCTCCTTCCCGAGTCGGCCGCCCACCTGCCCGGGGACCCTGGCTTGACGTGATGATGTTGATGTGAGATTGTCTCTTGCTTGTCGCGAGCTTGTGTTTTCGTGAGGTTGGTTGGGCTGTGGGT